TGCTTTTTCAGATAAATAAGTAACAATCATGAAACAGAATGTATGCTTTTTATCTGATATGGGATCTGGCCCGCACACTCTGTGGACCACTAGGATGATGAAGACGTTGGGTAGGGAGTTGACCTGAATTCGTTCTTCCTGCAACACAACATCTATAAACTGGTCATTTGATCAAATGCTAATGTCTTCTTGGTTTCTATTGATCTCTTCTGAATTTTGAAGATTCCATTTAGGTTTTTTTCCTTTGTATTTATTTATTTATTTATTTTAAATATACATTCAATGACATTGTTTAGCTTATGAAGTGAACATTTCAATATGTAAACATTTCTCTCCAGTGCAGTTATCTTCAACAGATAAAACCACACCTCCTCATTCCGTCAATGCTCTGCCTCTGTATCTCTCCTCCAAATGTCCTTCTCTAGGCCCTACTGCTCAGTTTGTTACTACTTGAGATTTCTGTGTATACTGGATAAACAGTGTGACTTATATTAGGGAACTAATAAGTGGTAGTCTAATTCATGGCCTTTCTCTTTAGCACTGCCTTCTTCTGATCATGACTATAGTATGTCTTCACCTGTGATAGCAATACTAGTAGTCATCTTGATTTATGATTTTAAAAATATGCTGTCTTTGAATCACACTCATCAGGTGATACTCTTTGGTGATTTTTCCCTAAAGATGATGAATTCACGTGGATACAAGCGCTCTTTCAGAGTCCTCTTGGGTGTCCCAAAACTTTTATTTGCAAAACAAATGGCCGGTTCAGGGGCAGTCTATGCATAAATGAGAGAGAGAAACTGGGCTATATACGTATTGTGAGAATATTTTTCAAACCAAGCTAAGTTACATGAATTTTTGTACTTATTTGTTTTCTGATTTGTGAATATGGGGGAAAAAGTATAAAACTTCTTAAGAATATAAAACTAAATTACGTTTATTTTTGCTTTTAATCAATTAGTCTATTAAAAATAATACAATAATAAGAAATTGAGAATGACTTAGAAAACTTCAAACATATCTCCTTGAATTCTGACATTTTTTAACCCCCAATTCATGTTTTAACTTTATTTGATGGCCTTCAGGCGTCTCAAGCCTTCTAGCATTCTTTTTCAGACCCCTACTTGTACTTGTTTTCTTGGTCTCAAATGTACTTCCCAAGTTCCAGTAATTCTGATCTTTTTTCTGTTATCCTCCAACATAGCAATTCAGCCTTCTCCTCCTATCCCTGTCCCTGTCAAATGACTGTTTGCTCCACTGTTCATCCCACTGCTTCTGCCTTAATCATTTCTTCCAAGCAAATCATATCCAGATACACCTCCCCTGGCCTACAATATGAAGCTTACTATCAGGATTGGGTTGCGTGGTCATTCCAGATTCATTCTCACCCCCATTAGTCCCATCCTCACTAGCTACTTTCACACAAAATCCTCTCACAACTCCATGGACCACCCTGTCCCTCTGCCAAACAAGCAATGATTCACTATTGAAGTCCTGGCAAAAATGTTGCTTTCTTTGTGGGTGTTCTCTGGTTCCATCTACCTACCTAGTTACTCTCTTCTTTGTGTTCCCAAGACTGTAATTCATACCTCTTTTGCACAGAATAATTATCTGCTTATGTTTCTCTGTCAACACTGTCATCTCATTAATGGCAAGATTGGGTCTTAATCCTGTATGTCTAGCAATTATTCAATTGCCTGTGCCTAGGTAGATCCCAGGTGTTTGTCAAAGAAGTGAATGAGTGAATGAATGGAACTTATGTTCTGGGATATGGTAATGATATATTTTAAATAATTGATGTAATTAACTTCAAACAGGGAATTTCTGCAATAGCACATGGCTGGACTAGATACTAGAAGAACTATTTTTATTTTCTTAAGAATTACTTAATTTTATTTATTCATTCTTTTATTTTAATTTGACCAGAGAGAGACACACAGAGAGAGAGAGAGAAGGAAAGCAAGCCACAAGCTCCAAGGACTCGAACTGTGTTGGTCACATGGGAGTGTCCAGTACCTTAACTACCACATCACCTGCTGGCCCCCTGTGGGAACTATTTTTATACTCATTCCTGTGCAGTATTAGGCCTTGGGTTTTATACTCATTCCTGTGCAGTATTAGGCCCTTGGGTTGTCATTGTTGTTTTCCCTAAGTGCTTTCCCTTTTATAGACTTCCAGGTATATTACTAGTCTCTTATATCCATGACTCCTTACATATGTACATACATTTATGAGCATATGTAGTTTTTTCTTTGGTTTATCTTTTTTAGTAACAGTCTGCCTTAGTCCCTTGTTGTGATACTAATGCAAATAGATGAGACTGGATGATTTATAAAGAAGATAGAAGTTTACTTACAAAACTTAGTATTCTGATGTCTGAAAAGTTCAAAGTCCACAGGGTCTTGGACCCAAACCATGAAGTCAGCCCTGTGGGATCCAGCCACCTTAACTACCATGCCACTGGCTGGCGGCCCTCCTTTGTTTATATTCCCTTTGGGACACAATCATACAGGTACCACCCAGATGACATTGTCACAGCCAAAGACACCACCCTGAGACTTCAGGAAAGGATTAAGTTTTCACTTAGCATCTTTACAATGCAACCAATTCCCAACACATGAATTCGGGGGGGACATCCAAATTCAAAAGTATGAACCTTTGAGGATAAACAATTATGTAAACCATAATATTCTTTTCTGATTGATGACATATTTTTGACTATCATACCTAAATATTCATCCTCAGTCCTTGCTATCCATTCTTCTAAGGCCTGGTATCAAGATACTATAGTTTTTCCTCACTTTTTTTCTTTTTTAATTACCAGAGGGCATGTGCATTCATGAGAGAGAGACAAAAAGAAAGAGAGAAAAACCCCATCAAAGGGTGAGGGAAGTCACCCTGTAATCTTTTTTCTCTATTTCTCCATCCCATCAGGATTTGGGGTGTGCATATGTATGTGCCCAGCATGTTTTTCAAGCCACTAGGTCTGGGATTTCAACCTTGATTAGCCATGTGGAATCTGGCTTTCTATGCATAGCACTTAGCCTCTATACTACTGGCCCAGTCCAATAGTTCTTCCTCTTCTCAGTGATGTCAAAGAGCTCTGCTATTAAAAACAGTGGACCCTGTTACTCTTTAATAATTTCATAATCACTAGCCCCACCAGATAATCTCATCTGACAGTGGATTTTGGAATGATTGCTTTGTGTTATCCCTGCAGAAGGTGGCTAAAATTCCTGGTGATCCCAGCCTGTGGTACAGATGAAACAAGCTGCAAGCCCAGAGGGTCCAGTTCAGTAGGCTGTCTCCTTCACCATCCCTGGGTATTGGTGGGCCAGATTAGCACTTAGAGCCATTTGAGGTGACTAGTACAGCAGTGCTACTTCTTTCTAGGTGAAGTCAGGGATAGAAGCCTATGTGCTCAGGGGAAGTATGAGCCTAGTTGATGGCAAACCTTTCTGTTAAAATTGGGTGAAATATTCTGAATGACAAACAAATGAGTGAAACAAATGTATCATGTAATATAAAAACAAAGTTGATTGAATAAGGAGATTTGGAGTAGCAGTTCTCTAGAATTAGAAAATAATAAACATAAAACCTCCTGTGAAAATTACCCATACATTACAAGGAATTGCTTGTCAGCATTATAAGATATTCACAGTGTTGTAATGGAGTGGAATCTGGTTTTGTTTCCTGTGCTGCATTATACACTTGTATATCTTAAGTACTAATTTTTAAAATACAGTCACCAAGTATTGTTCTTATGTGGAGATTATTCTAGTACTCTTTGACATTTTTTGGAAACCAGATGATTTGGAGGAGCTTTGATGTCCTTTTTTATAATAGAGCCTTGGAAATCACTTAAGAAAGATTTATATTGATGGGGATGACGACCCACAAAAAACTAACTTTAACTGTGCCTTCCTCACTAAATATTTAGAAGTTCAGGTTTAATCATATGGTTAATTCGGTGCTCTAATTTTCTTAATCCCATGTTTACTAGATCAATAACTATTTATACAAGATTGAACCTACAGTAGATTGACCCTATCCTTAACACCCCCTTCTAAAAGCCCATCCTTTCTCTACATAGTTTTGTTCACATTCCCTCAACATTTATCATTCCAACAGCACAGTGCCTGGGAGCAACAGAAGCGCTAAATGAAGTCAAGGTGATAGAGTTAGAACTTCAAGTGGTTTGGGAGCCAGAGGGAGGGAGCCTTATAAAAGTGATAATGGAATAACAGAGGATGGTTTGTGATCATGATGGACTATGGAGGATACCATGTGATGTTGAAATAAGAACTGCACGCCAGTGCTGCTGGGTGGATGAGCTGTGGTCTGTTTTGGAATGAAAGTGGTGGCTCCTATTCTCTGCCAGAGGGCTGGAGAGCAGGCTGCAATTTGTACAGCAGGGGGAGAAAAAGGATCCAAGGAGGAAAATGGCCCCAAGATTGAGGAGAGATATGGCACAAGCATTCATTGCCCCAACTTGGAACTTGGACACGGTAATGTTTTTAGAGGACTGCAATGGAGTCCTTAAGATGGAGACAAGAAAGAGAATAAGATATGCATTTGGCTTTTCCTCATTCAACCACGCCATGTTAGTTTAACTTCTAAGCCTCCAGCCCAGGTATTATTTAATCCATAGATCTATATCTGTATGCCATCAGTATCTATATATCTACAGATTAAGGTATATAGATATGTCAAATCACATTTTAAATGAGAGCTAGAGAATGGTTGGAAGCAGGTGCCCATGAACTTTTCCTAGTCATACTTAGAATTTGTTTTAACCTTAAGTTTTGGAGGCAGACTTGAAGGGAGACAATCCCCAACCTTGCTAAAATGTAAGTATAAAAAGGCACAAATTGGATGGATATTGATGATGTTGTTTCTACTGTGACATCATCCATAGACTCCTAGTGTCTTTGCTTTGCTTCCCTATAGTGATCACAACATAAATTACTTGTCTTGTTTGACTTCCTTGTTCACCAAAGTTGAGCAGATTGTGGCCGTTTTCAACGCTTCTACCAGACAAAAAGCTTGGGACCATTTCTCGAAAGCTCAGCGCAAGAACATAGACATTTGGCGAAAGCATTCTGAGGTTGGTGATTTTATTATTACTTTTTAACCACCATCACACAGCTGGATTGGCAGAGAACAGTATGGCTGCAGCCATTCAGTTTTTGTTACAGTGGGCAGCCTCCCTGCCATTGTCCTGTCTCATTGTCAACGCTGAATCCAGCTCAGACTTGTTTCTTGTCCAGAAAAGCAGCTGAGTTAACATTTAGAGAATAGAGTGTGTTTCTCCTCTGCAAAGGGAGAAAAGAATCTTTCCCATTCATGGCAAAAAGCTCAGAAATAAACCTAGACATTTGGCTTGATAAATGACATCAAAGAAAAGTGTAGCTTAAAATAGGGACCTAGTTTTCAAATAAACACAGATTTTTTTTTTCAGCATTCCACATGACGGTGACGGTTTGCTCTTTGGACTGGAAATGGCAAGTATGCCGTTCTATCATGTTTTCTCATCATAAACAGTGGTTCTGTCCCCTGTGCTAGCCATTAGGTTATACCACACCTCTCCCTAGAGCAAATTTCTTAAGGGGAGGGCCGTGTCCAGGCTAGCTGGAGTCCACCTTTTAGCATCAATGCATGTTTGAAGTGTGAGTATCTATTCCCAAGGAAAGAATGCAGAACTTGACCTCCTTTGCCACCCAGAAGGACCAAAATGTGTCATTAGTCCTTGGTCATCCAGCTGTTATTTTTGACTCTACAGTGTAGTGTACGCTTTGAACCTGTAATTTAAAAGTAAGTATACTGTCTTTGTTTGCTTCCTCTTTTTTTTTCTTTAATGAGAGAATGTTTTTCATTTGGATGCCTTTCCATCTCTAGCATGTTAACACTAAAGCTCTTTAAATGATATTGCCACTTTCAAAATCCAAACTTATAGAAGGTAAGGTTTATTTATTTAATGATTTTGGCTCACACTTGTAAAATAAGTATTTTATATAGGGTTTGAGGAACCACAGAGTACTGTGATATCAATCATTTGGGTAGCGTTTTAAGTGCCCATTAACTAATGCTAAATTACAGTTGAATACCAATGGTACTAGATGTAACATCCACATGAATACCAAATGAATTCTTTATTATCACTGTTATTATGGTGAATACTGAGTGACTTCACAATAATGGGACACTTAAAATGCTAGTGCAATTTATTGTTAAGAAGGCCATTTTTTATTTTGTTCACAAATGCCTAAGAAGGTGGTCGGTGACTGATAAAGTTCTGTTTTTCTGTTCAGAATTATGGGGAAAAAAAAGAGGGGAATCTTTCTTCAATTTTTCAGGAACCAGAAAAATTAACCATCAGTGCTTAACTGATGTCCTCTTTGACACTGAATGGAGACCCAAGTCAAGGCTGATTTTCAGGAGGATAAAGAATCCTCTGTTTATGGTGCAATATCCAACTTGAGAGTTATGAAAATACAAATTGGAATCCATAAACTATGGTTCATATTTGGGCATGATCAGTCTATGAGTTGTTTAAATGTTTTCTTTTCTTTGCATAAAACCCAAACACAATTGGAAAACTTGCTAAGAGAAAGGCAGGTGGTGTGATGTTAAATAAACCCGGGTATAAAAAGGTCATCATTCATGTATGAATGTCAGAAAATAGCAGGTATTGATCTAAATCACACTTCCTGCCATGCCGTACTCTACTTCTCGCCTTCCCTTAGCCCTACCTCTCCCATGCTGCCCACTGCCCAGCAAGACATATAAAGGCTTCCAACATTGCTCCAAGAAAGCTACTTGCTTTTCTCAACTCTAGGAGGTAGAAGTGTATGCTCCAGATTGATACGTGGAGAACAGTCTCCAAGATGCTCTTGTAAAGGGTCTTTATGCCTCCCTGCCACCACCTCTTTTCATATATGTTAGGAAATAGAATTCTCAATCACCTTTGATTTTCTCTCCTGTGTGTCACTTAATTGATTAAATACCAGTTGGTAATTTAACATTGTGGATGATTTCTCAGTTGCATATAAGCCTGATAATTGCCTTGATTTTTTTCCCCACATTCCCAAGTACAGCATCTGTTAATTACCTACAACACCTTTACAAATTTGTTAGAGTGCACTAGTGATTTACT